ATGATGTCACGGGTTCGGGGCACGCAGCGCTGGGATGAAATGTCTTTAATGGAGGGAAGAGGAGCCCCCATGATCCTCTCTGCTGTTATTGGGAAGCAGATTTTTCCTGTTTTTATTTATTTCTATATCAAAAGGAAAATGGTTGTCTCTGATCTACGCAGACGGCTCGTACAGCTGATGAGTCTCCCTGACTCCCTGAGTACTGTCTTAAAGGCAGCTGCATCGTCCTGAAAGCTCTGCGTTCAGCAGAGAGCAGTTTTCTCATCTCTGATGTATAAACCATGCAAAGCCTCCCATGATTCTGCTCTGGATCACAAAGCAGGATAGAAACATGATTTCAGTCGCGTCTCTGTGACGCTGCTACCCTGAAATAATGACCTGATTATGGAACAGTTTCAATCACTTATCCACCGTATAAAACCTGCACCTCTGCTTAGAGGTTTGCTGTCTGGATTCAAAAGTTCATACGTTATTTCATAAAGTAATGATACTAAAAAAGTTACTTTTCACATTTGAATGCAGATTTACATGACTGTTATTCCACTGCCATTGGTCAGCATTAACAATTATTATTAAATAATTAAGTTCCATTAGAAAAATGAGTGTAATTACTTTAATCAGTATAAATGTTGTTTGTGTTACAGGGAAGCTGACGCTGAAGATTCCATGGAAGAACCTGTACAACGAGGCGGTGGTGGCCACGCTGGAGGGGCTCTACCTGCTGGTGGTTCCTGGAGCCAGTAAGTCTGAGCGGTCCGGTCCGGTCCGGTCCGGTCCGGTCCGGTCCCAGCGGTTCTGAGAAACAAATATCAGCCAGAAGCGTCTGTTCAGACGGACACTGCAGCTGCAGGAAGCCTGCGTGTTCTTGTTTCCCCTGCAGCGTGGGGGCAGGGTTTTAGAAAAGGTTCTACACTGTAGGGACGTACAGGTACATACGGGGACGTTCACCTGCTCCCCACGTGGTGAACTTCTCTTCTTTGGGTTGAGCTCAGGTTTAGGACTAGGGTGTGAATTCAGTTTAGGCCAGGCTTAGGTACATGATGCTAATGGTAAGGGTTAAGGTAGGTCGCCATATTTCATGGTGTGTGTGTTTGTTCCAGCTCAGGCTCAGCTGAAGTCGCCTCCGTTTAACGGTAAGCTGCATCGTTTGGAGGTGGAAGTTGATCTGTTTTCTGAAGGGAAACATGCCGGTGCTTCAAAATAAAAGTAGGGCAGCTTTTATTTTGAAGGCTGCCATCCTGTTACTGAGGTCGGTGTTCCTGATTCCTGGTCTGTCGGTGGGTGTTCGAGGTCCGCTCCGTTTTCTACAGTTTTCTGTCCAGTTTTTCTCCAGAGCCTGAAACCGTTTGGAGAGAAATTGGTTCCATTATCGCTGAAAATGAAAATGTTTTGGAAATGGAAATTTTGGGGGAAAAAAAAGTTTTAAAGGTAACTTTATTATATTTAAAAAAAATATAATCATGTTTTTTTTTTATTGTATTTCATTTTTTGTCTTTTAAAGGTATTGTGGAGAATTTTTGAAAATACTTGCCCTCTCCGGAAAAAAATACACATCCATAACAGTTTACCTGACGGTCCGCCCTGACCTCTGACCCCTCCAT